CCCACGCCGTTGAGCAGTTGCAGCAAGCGGAACTGCCTGACAAGCTCCACATCAAGCAGCTTGGTGTTATTGACTGGCGCAGTCGGCACACAGCTGATCTGGAGAGGGTGCACGGTGATATTGGGGCGCCCATGCGTCTTGCACTCCCATACCGGCAACGTGAGCCTGCCCACCACGCCGAGCGGCCCATAAAACACAGCTGCCTGGCTGCCCGTCTTGTGCAACTCACAGCAGCTGCCATTTTCTGCTGCTAAGTGGCAAGGAAGCGGCTCCATGCTGGCCAGCTGGGCTTGCCGCTGCTGGAGCTGCTGCTGGCGCTCCTGCCGCTGCTGCGCCGCCCGGCCCGGCAGAGAGGCCAAGAAGGCATCCACGTCCGCTCCGAGCCGAGCCTCCCAGTGATCACGTTTGCGTCCTTGCCGGTCGCCCCAGCCTAAGAAGCCGCTGGGTGCTCGCTCATCCTCGTTGTCATCCCTCTCACCCCGCCGCCTGGCCTGCCCTGGCACATTGAAGGGAGCTTGTTGTCCTGGTCTACTTGCACGGGATCTTTTTGGCTGTGGCCCGTCTAGAGGCCTGGGGGCCGTGGTCTTGCTAACCACCTTCACCCTAAAGTGGTGGCTCATGTCCTAGAAAGCATATTACGGTTGCTGGGATGCCAACAGAACAAACGGGAGGGAGAATGATGCATGATTGAGGATGATGTCCCCAATGACCCTCCAGGTGGGGGGCCATCATGCCCATCATGGGGCACATCCTTACCGGGAGGCCTACCTGCAGGACAGGCAGGAAAACTCATTTCATTAGGTCCGCTTCCCGCTTTAGTCTCGTCATGTTTGCTCCCCCATCTGCAATTGGGGTGCTTACAGTGAGCTGGAGGCGATGCCCCCGCAACGCCAGTCATGCCAGTGCCTGGGCGCCGGCGGGGCAGGCGCCGGCGGGTGCCTGCCGCCAGCGCGCAGCCAGCTTGCTTAGCGTATGGTGCAGGTGGGGTGTTTACAGTCTACAGTCTGTTTTCAGCAATCAACGCGCCAATCAGGATCCACAGGAACAGCACACGGAAGTTCTGTGCACCCGGGGAGCTTTGGCGCGTGCCATGGAGAGGAATAGGTGAAGAATGGGGATGGGCGAAGCGCCAAGAATCGAGAAATGAAAGGGGCAGGAAGGGATGTCACGAGTGGAGCGAGGGGTAAGGCCGCACGCCGCGCCATTCCCCCTTGCATGCGGGGCAGGTGGCAGGCAGGGGCGATGGCGCGCATCGTGCGCTCAAGAATGGTGTGGTCAACAAGTGAGGTAAGGCAGTGCACAAATTTGTGGGTGCTGCGCCTGCCCGCCCTACTCCACCAGGAAGTCTCCGTAGATCACTCCGCCGATGGAGTACTGCGTGGGGCGGGGCTGTGGCTGGCAGGGGCCCCTGGCCCGGTTGGGCCGGCACGGCTCCCAGCTCAGCTGCAGCGGCTTGTCCAGCCACCAGCCCCCGAGCTGCACGATCCAGGTGTAGAGGTCGACGCGCGCCACGCTGGCCGCCCACTCGCTGTCCGTGTTGAGCAGCACCCAGCGCCGCCGCTCCAAAAACTTCTTCAGCCAGCGCTTCTCGTCCACGCCCTTGAGCGGGGCGCCTCCCAGCTGCTGGTTCACCCACGCTGCCATGCCGTTGACTGCACTCGAGGCAGGGCCAGGCGGGCAGCGTGGCGAGGCACGCATGGAGTGATGCAGCAGCAGCAGCAGCAGCACCAGCAGCAGCAGCACCAGCAGCAGCAGCAGCAGCAGCAGCGGCGTGGCCTAGTGCAGCATGCTTGTTGCCGCTGATGGGCAGGCACATGTCCCCCACCCCATCCCCAGCCGACCGCACGCCACCAGCCTCGCACCCGAGATGCTGTACACGTCTTGGTCTGGATCGGAGTAGCCGTGCTGGATGTAGGCGTCATACAGCTGAGCCTTGGTGAGGGACAGCCTGGCGGCCAGCAAGGGAGGGGGGCGGGCAGGAGCAGGATGTAGGTACACTCGGCAGCCTGCCAACAGCAGGCAGGCTCACCAAGTGGCAGAAGCGGCAGCGGGGCTCCCGGCGCCCAGGCGAGGCGGGGCGTCGCACCTGATGCCGTACTGCTTGGCCAGCTGCTGGGAGGGGGTGAAGTACAGCTGGTCCGCAAAGTAGTCTTGGGTGCGCCGAAACAGCGGGTCGCGCGCAGCCAGCGCCACGGCCTGCACCAGCAGCAGACGGCGCCGCAGCTTGCTTGGGGCACGCCGGGCTGCTGGCATGCCGCGCACCGCCTGCGCATGCTGCGCTGGGAGCTGGGGCCAGGCCCGCGGCCCACGGCCCGCGGCCCGCCGCCGCCCGGCAGCCCTGGCACGGCAGCACCACCGCGAATGCGCACCTGGATGAAGCCGTCCAGACCCGCCACATTGCTCCCGCCGCCTCCCCTGTCGATGCGCTCCAGGGCTGCCAGGTACTTGGCCAGCCCATTGCCTGCGGGCTTGCTTCACATACCTGCGCACCACCAGCACGCCGTCCCCTGTGCCCGTACAGAAGCCGCTCCTGCACGCAGCGCTCGCACGCACACACACGCACACGCACACGCCCATCGGCGGGGCGCAAGGTGGCCGTCGCAGGCACGGCGCGCTGCACGTGTGAATAGCAGCGCAGCGCACGCCAGCCGGGGCCCACCCAGCAACCGATGCATGCACAGCAGGCGCGGCAGCCACAGCAGGCGCAGCAGGCGCAGCGTGGCGGGCGTGCCTGCCGAATGTGATGCCGCGGCCGTCGCCCAGGTTTTCTGCATAGCTGTAGCCCGGATCCAGCGAGGCATTCTCGAAAATGGACAGGAGCTCCTCCGCTCTCCTCTTGCCAACTGGCGACAGATCGTTCCAGCGGAACGGCGTGGGAGAGGGGTTGGGCTTGGGGCTGGGCTTGGGGCTGGGCTTGGGGGATGGGCGAGGGCGGGGCGAAGGCTTGGGGGATGGACGGGGGCTTGGTGATGGCTTTGGTTTTGGCGGAGGTCTTGATGCTCGACAACTGAAGGGATAGCAGACAGGTGTGGGGGGAGTGCTGTGAAGCAGTGCTCTCTTTGGAGGGTGAAGCAGTGCCCTCGTTGGAGGCACCTGAGAAGACGCACGGACACCTGCCAACGGAACACGTGGCAGCATGCACAGCATGCACCTCAAGCAGGGCTGCGCACCTGTAGTAGAAGCTCAGGACCTTGGTCTTGCGAAAAAACTTGCACCCGGCCACCCCAAACTTGCGGTCCGACGCCAGCACCGAGCAGGTGCGCTGCCGGAGGCATGCCTTGGTCAACACACTGCGCACGCACAGCAGGCGTGGGCTACGATGTGGTGGGGCAGGAACATGCTCTGCCTGGCCGGCAGGCCGCGGAATGTGAGTGCACCCGCTCACCGGTAAGTCGAGGTGGAGTTGCAGCGCTGTGAAATGCTGCCGTAGACGGGACGGTGGATGCATGAGATTACTTGGCCGGCGGGGCAGCGGGCCACTGCTGTGCCCCCTTCCCGGGCGCTTGTCCTCTTGTAACGAGTCTTGGTCACTGCAGATGCGGGCATGCATGAATATCATGAACTACAGCAGGCAGGCAGCGCGAACAACAAGACTTGCATGGGCTGGCATCACTACGGCGGGCAAAGTGGCTGGCACGACTGTGGAACCCGCCCCTCATCGGCGCAGACAGCTTGCAGCCACCCTACCTGCAGATCTTGCGGCAGGAACCAGTGCTGCTAGTAGTAAGAAGGCTAACTGCAGCAGCGCTGCCTGGCGTGGTCGCCGCCATGCCGTGCGCATGCTGCCGCCCATGACCATGACTCTGACATTTGCTGGGTGCCCCTCTGCCACAGCATCAGACGCCAACATGCGCGTCCTGGTTCCTGCGCCAGGCCTCGAACCACGGCCTTTGTTTGTGGGTGCCGGACAAGAAGCTGAGGCCGCGGGCTGTGTCCTATTTTTGTCCCGCGCCCGCGTGCTGTGCAATTGGGTCAGATCCAATGGCGAAAACCAGGCAATCGCGCTGCTGGGTTCAACAGCGTTCACAAAGCCTGCAAACCAAGGTTGGCTCCCAGTGCCGCCTGGCGTGCACCCGAGGCGTGTGGGGCTTGCAGCTGCTCGGGGAAGAGGCATCGGAGCCCAATGGACATCGATTTTGCATTATGCGCCCAGCCGTGAAATGCGTGATATGGCTGTGGAAATTGGGTGGTTTCCAGCTAATTCTTGGCCTGTCGAGGCTGTCAATGGCTAGCATGATCCTCAGACACACCTGAGTCATGGAGTTTCGCTTCAGCGGGGATCTCAAAAGCCCGAAGAAAACACGGTACACCAGCCCCGCAGAGGGCCTAGGAGCTACACCTGGGGCGCCTGGGGGGCAGCCTCATGTCCAGGGATCGCCAGCAGCTGCAGCCCAGCCGCAGCAGCAATGGCCCCAACCCGCCCAGGAACAGCCCAGAACCCAGGAACAGCCCAGGGAGGCGGGCGGAAGCAATGAGGGCGCGTTGGCAGGGGCAGCAGGCCCTGGGGGCGAGCCGGCAGTGACTGGTGGGTCCTCACCCTCCCCTCCCCGCCCGCCCTGCCACAATACGTGGCTGGTCGGCTGCCCTCCTGGCGTGCCGCGCTTGCTTGTTGGCCTGCCGAGCCCCTCCTCACGCCCTGCCCGCAGATGCCGCCAAGGCCTTCCGCGAGCTGCGCGTGCGGCCGGCGCTGAGCGGCGTCGAGCGCGCGGCGCGGGCGGGCAGCCCGGCGCGGCCCGCGGGCGCCCCCGACCGCCCCTCCTCCCCCAAAAAGCGCAAGGCCACGTACAACATCGACAAGGAGTTCATCCTGAAGGACGACAAGGTCAAGCGCAACACGGGTAGGAAGGGGAGGCGCGCTGCCGGGTGCTGGGGGTGGCTGGGACTCGGAAACGGCCGGGGGTGTTGGCTCTGCCTGGAGGTCGCACGGTGGAGCTGGTGCTGCGGCGTGTGGCAGCCTGCGATGCTGGATGGCTGCGCAGGGAGAGCACCCTCACGGAAGCAGCCGCAGTAGCGTGCCCCTTCACGCCGGCTGAGCCACGCTGGCGCTGTGCCTGCTGTGCCGTGCCCCCCTGCGCCTGCAGACACGCAGGGCGACATCAGCCAGGCGCGCGGCCAGCTGGGTCAGCTGCTGTTTGAGTTCAGCCAGATTGAGCTCAACCGGGACCTGCTGGAGGCGATCAAGCGCACAGAGTCCAAGACAGGTGGGTTGGGCGGGCGGGCGGTTGGCTGGCTGGCTGGCGGGCCGGCGGGCGGCAGGCACCCCCTCGCGAAGCAATCCCGTTGTGCGATGCGTGCAGGGCGCAGCACCGGCAGCCGCCCCTCCGCGCCAGGCCGCCTCAACCGTGCCGCCTTTGAGCTGGCAGTGGCCGAGGCTGCGGAGCTGCTGCAGTCGCAGCTCAGGTGGGCGCAGAGCGGCGGCTGGCCGGCACTGCTTGGGGCGAGGCGCGGGGCCGCAGCCAGCATTCTCCGCCTCATCCTGCCCTCAGCCCCCCTCGTACGCCTGCCGCCGTGCTGCTGTGCATCGCTCACGCGCCCCTGCTGGCCGCCCCGCTGCCCGCCGCAGCACGGTGGAGGCGCACTGCGAGGATGCGGCGCTGCGTGCCGCCATCCTGCGCACCTATGCCGTGCAAGCCATCGCCACCTTTGCAGACGAAGGTGGGAGGCAGCGGCGGCACGGGCCGGTGCAGCACCGGGAGCTGCCTGCTCCTGCTCACCCGCCGCGCCGCGCTGCGCTGGCTCTGCATTGCAGAGCCCGACAGCGAGGAGGAGGATGGGGAGGAGGGTGCTGGCGGGGGCGCTGCCACGTCGTCCGACGAGGAGAACAACGACAGCAATAGCCAGCGCCTGCGCGGCGGCAGCAGCAGCGTGGAGGGCGCGCAGCAGGCGGCCTCGGGCGACGCCGCCAGCCAGCAGTCGCAGGGCATGCAGGCGGCGCCGCGCCCCGGCTCCGCCGCGGGCTGCCACTCGCCGCCGCACCCGCGCGGCGCGCGGGGAGGGCAGCCGGGCCAGCAGGCGGCGGCGGCGGCGGCGCTGGGGCGCCAGCCCGGCGCCGGCGGCGTCGTGCCCATGTCCCCGCAGCGCGCTCAGGCCGCGGGGTCTGCCGCTGAGCAGGCCAGCTCCTCCTTCCTGCCGGATGCCCCTCCCGACTCTGCGCTTGAGGACACAGCCACCGCGGCGCTGCGGCAGGAGCAGGAGCCCCAGCAGCAGCAGGGGGGCATGGCGCAGCAGGGCGCGCAGCTGCCTGCGGCGGTGGCGGCCACGCAGCAGCAGCGGCAGCAGCAGCAGCGGCAGCGGGGCGGCGGCGGCGGCCAGGCGCCCGACGACGGCCACATGCAGCAGCGCATGCGCATGCTGTCGCTGGAGGCCGAGGGCTCTGCACACCTGCAGCAGGCCTCTTGTGTGGGCGAGGGCAAGGAGGAGGAGGAGGAAGGCCCCACCGACATGGTGCGCTCGCCGGCGCCCGTCACGAGCCGGCGCACGGCGCCGCAGCGCCTGCCGCCGCCCGACGAGCGCGAGGAGGACGTGGCGCCGGCGGCGGCGGCGGCGGAGGCAGCACGCGTGCTGGGGCAGGGGCAGGGCGCGGGCGGCGGCTCGCGCCGCGCCTCGACGGCGGTGGTGGCGGAGGAGGCGCGCAGGCTGGCGCTCAGCGGCCGGGCCCAGCAGCATCGGCGCCAGCAGCAGCAGCAGCAGCAGCAGCAGCAGCAGCAGCAGCAGCAGCAGGGGCAGCAGGGGGAGCATGCGGAGCAGGAGGGCAGCGAGGGGACCAGCGGGGGCCAGGCATCCAGCGCCGCCGCCGAGCCTCCCAAGCGCCAGCGCCGCAGCGGCGACCTGCTGCCGCCGCTGCACGAGCACTCCTCGCAGCACGCGCGCCGCGCCTCGGACCCAGGCTCTGCCGCGGATGGCGGCGCCACCCAGCGTGCCCTCATCCTGGGCAGCCTGCAGCCGCGCCCGGCTGGGGAGCCGCCGCAGCAGCTGACGCAGCAGAAGCAGCAGCCCGCGGGCCCGCCCAGCCTGCCGCCGGCAGGCCCGCAGCAGGACGGCGGCGGCGGCAGCCCCGGCGGCGAGGCCGACCAGCAGGAAGCAGCAGCAGCGGCGGCGGCGGCGGCGGCAGCGGCGGCGGAGGGGCTTCCCTCGGATGCCACGCTGCGCCTGCGTGGCGCGCACAGCGGCAGCAGCGTGTGGGGCAGCACCCTGGTGTGTGCCGACCTCACGGTCAACGACGTCGCCTCCCAGTACTGGCCCTTCCTGCGCTCCGCCATGCAGGGCCAGGTGCGCCGCTCCGCCGCCTGCTGCTGGGCAGTCTGCGGGGGGCCTTGAGGGGGGCCTTGGGAGGGCTGGCTGGCGGGCGAGGGCGATGAGCGGCAGCGTGCAAGTGTTTGATCCCAAGGGGGGGCACATGTGGGGGTGGCACCACGCGTGAGAACATCATGACGGTGCGCCTAGCTGCAGGCCAGGGCGTGCTCGTGCCCGACCCTGCCCCGCGCGCCTCGCCCTCCCCTGCCCGCGCCCACCACCCGCAGGCGGCGCAGCTGCAGGCGGGCGACAAGGAGCTGGTGGCGGCGCTGGTTCGCATGCTGGGGGACACCATCACAGGTGCGGTGTGCTGCCGGGCTGGGCAGACCGCTGCTGGGTGGCCGGCTGGCCGGCTGGCCTGCGGGGCGACCAACAGCAGCTCCGCCTCGCCGCCATGCTGGACGGCCAGGCGCCGGCAGCGGCAGTCTGCCGCCCAGCATGTGCCAGCATGTGCCAACCGCCGACGCCAGGGTTCCCTGCTGCGCCGTGCTGCGCTGTGCAGACACCTACATGGCCGAGGCGGGCACGGGGCAGCGCCCCGCCTCTGAGGCCAAGAGCCTGGTGGCCGCCACCGCCTTTGACGACTTCTTCCGCGCCAAGGTGGCGGCAGAGTCGTCGGGGGCCTCGCTGTGAGGCGCTCGCCGCGGCGCCGGTGGCTGGCTGGGCTGGAAGAAGCGTGGGGCAGGCTGGGCGGCGGCGGATTGTGTGAGCGACGAGTGAAGCCCGCCAAGAGTTGCCACGGCCCCCTCCTGCCTGGTGCTGGGTTGGGCTGGCTGTCCTTTTTCCTCATGTACTGTACTCTGCAAGTGGTAGCACTGCTCCCTTCTGTACTCTTTGTTTCGCTTTGGTATTGCGCCCCCCTTGGCTGCGCCATCGAAGGAATGCTTTGCAGTGTTGCTGCCTTGCCCTCTTCCCCTTACCTGTCTAAGGCTATGTCTAGGCTTTATACCTTCTGAGAACTTCATCTTTTGGCAGCAACACGCGCCAACAACACCTGAACAGCAAGTAGTGCAACTTGAGCGTTGCCGCCGCCCTGCACGGCAGCTGCCCCGTACGCCGCTCCCGTCTGGTGCCACCGGCTCCTTCTGCGCTTTCATGAGAAACGTGCAGGCCTTCAGCGTAACCTCCGTCGCTTGTGTCCAGTGACAAGATGCAGCACAGGCACTCTTGCGAAGGGACCTGTACAAACTGGCGCCACTTGACTGCGCCACCTGGTTGCTGCCGGCGCTGGCGGTCGTACCATGGGGGACGCGGGCCTGCTCGCGCTAGACATGCGCCCGGGACTTGCTTTGAATTTGCTTGTGAATCGCTTCAGCTGGTGTTGATAGGCCCCAGCAGCGCACCTGCGACAGCCGCACAAATCTTGATGACGATGCGGGCTGCGCTTCTGCTGGGCGTAGCTGTCCTCCTGGCGGTTGCCCACACTCCTGTCTGCGCTAAAGAGGAGCCCTGGTGAGGGGAGGACCGCAGGGGTGTCCTGCCTGCCTTGGCCGTCCTGTGCAAGGCCGCCAACAGGCCCATTTCAGGCTGGCTGGCTGGCTGGTAAAGTGCAGCCACCAGCCAAAAACAGTCAGCGACAAGCGCGCCATGCCCACCGGCCGGCGGTGTTTTGCGCCCGCCGCCCCCGCCTCACCGCTGCACCCCCTCGCGCCTTTGCGCCCCTTGAAGGAACGTGCTGGCTGACTGGGTGGAGGCGGTGCTGTCCTCTGACCCATACTTTCGGAGGATGGATCGGAGGCAGCGAGCCACCACGCTGTGGCTGGACCCGTTCTTCGGGAACTGCTGCCCTCGATATCTCGAAGGCGGCTGCAACGAGGACTGTGCCAGCGACATGTTTTCGGCAAAAGCAAAGGCGATCGCCACGCTGCTTCACTTCGCCCTCATCGACGCCAGCGAGGGGTGGGCCAAGAGTGTTGGTGTGTCGGGCGTGTGGTTCAACCGCCGCCTTCATGGCCCAGGAGGCAGCCCCGCGGGCCCGATCCAGGCTGGCAAAACGCTGGAAACCGCCCTGTGGAAGCACCCAGATAACCCTCGGGTGAGCGGCAGGACTGCACCTGGGGCTTGGCCCTGCGGGCGGTGTTTGCTCCCTGTGTGTGGCGCTTTGGTGCCGACATGCATGGGCCACCTTGGGCCCTGAGATGGTGCCAGCAGGCGCCCCAAACCCCAGGTGTACCCACTGTGTGTTCTTCCTGCCTGCAAGCGCAGTTGGACGTGGTCGAGGGCGTGGGCGACCAGCGCGACCAGTACTTTGCCACTTTCCCTGCAAAGGTGCGGGGGGGCGGCAGGGCTCAGAGGAGGGGTGTACATGTTGTGGAGGGGCAGGCGAGCGAGTGCTGGTACCCCTGTTGCTGCTGCAGGTCATCCAAATCAAGTCCAACGACACTCTTATCAATCGCGGCGTGGTCACCAGGACCCTGGCCAATGTGAGCTGCCGCTGCCGTCCGCCCAGCTGCGTGCCACCCCCTGTGCCCCTGTCAGTTTGCTGTCGTCTCGCGGCATGGCTCATCCCCATCCTGCCGCACGCTATCTAACCCGCAGGTTATGAATGAGATCTTTGGCCTGACAGCTTACGGCCTGCGGCCCAGCAGCTACAAGTGTGGTGGCGGGTGCTGCTCTAAGCCGGTCTAGCACGGACGGGACACGAAACATATACAACGGAGCGCGCAGGAGGTTTTGGGCCGCTTGATCGTCATCTGCACGCTTCTGCAAAACGCTACTGCAAAACTGAACGCTACTGCAAAACTACTGCCAGTGAACGCAGTGAACGCTCGCCTCCCCCAGATCTCTCTGTCTGTGTGTCTGTTACAACCATCAGTAACAAATGAATGCTACGGTCCCAGCTGTGGTGCTGCAGCTGGAAAAAGTGTGAAGGCACCATACACAAACGAGGAGCCTGCTGTGCCGGAGTGCATTCATTCATTCATTCATTCAGCACACAGCCCGGCCGCCTCTTGCTCGAGGGCGGCCCACTTTGGCCTGGGCCGCCCGGGCCGCCCTCCCCCCCGGGCGCATGTTCGGTGTTGGAGGGGTGTGCCCAGCGATAGGGGGCCCCTGAAGGCATGCGCCGAGGCCGGGAAGCGTGGTTCGGCGCTGCTGCACGCTTGGCGATTTGACCAGAACCACGTGCCGCCGAGCTGCGGCCGCAGTTTCCGGCCCACGGTCTACGGTCGCAGCCACGGGACTCGGCGGCACGGCGTTTGGGCCCAAGCTTGCTGCCGCCGCCGCCGTGCCCGGGGGGCAGCGCGGCGGCAGCGGCACGCTGCGACGCCCCCGTGCTGCCGAGCTGCGGCCGTAGTTTCCTGCCAGAAGCCCACGGCCACAGCCACGGGACTCGGCGGCACGGAGTTTCGGTCCACGGCTTGCTGCCGCCGCCGTCGCAGGGGTGCTGCCTGCGGCGGCGGCGGCACGGCGTTTGGGTCCACGGCTTGCTGCCGCTGCCGCCGCCGCAGGGGTGCTGCNTGCGGCGGCGGCGGTAGCGCACGTGGCAACCCCCCGCGTTTCCTTGCCTCCCATCCACCGGACCCCGTCCTGCGCTTCACTTTGTTTAGGGAGGGGCTGCTCACTGCTCATTGCTCATTGCTCATCGCACACTGCTCAACGCTCATTGCCCTATATCCCACCCAGCCGCAGGACTCCACTGCCGCCCGCGCCCCGCCCCATCTGGCCGCTTGCGCGCCCCATCCCCCCTCGATGGGGCCCGCCCACACCGGGGCCTCCCCCCTCCCGCCCACTGCTTTCTCAACGGCCCCGAGCCGGGGCTGCCCTCATTGCATACATAGTGCGCCTTTCCCTGCTTTTCTAGTGACCTAGCGTTCCGCACTGCCGTTTGGCCAGCCCATGCTCCCGTACCGTTGCGTTTCTCCCCAATGCGCCATGCCACTTTGCCAGTCATACACACGTTTCGATGCGTGCCCTGTCAGCTGCTTGCGTTGCATGTCGCCTTGCTCCACCCCTGTTTTATTGCTTTCTCTGCTTTCGCCCGGTTCCCGTCCCGTTTCGGCGGGGAGTCTATGTTGCAAGCTAGTTCTTGCTTTACCAGACTTTAAGCCCACACAAGCACAAGCAAAGGAGAGAGAAGGGAGGGGTGGGGTGCAGGAAGCTTCTTAAGAGCGGGGGGAGCTGCTGCTCCCGCGTCCTCCTCCTCCTCCTGCGCTCGTTTTAGACATTCGCAGGCTCCAGAAAGATACCATTGACGTTTGGCCAGAAAAAGAGTGCAATACAAGCGGCAAACTGGAGTTTGCCAACGCGCATGCCGCCAGCGGTAAGCGGCAGCAGTACCAGTACCATGGGGCCGCGTCCCCCAAAGCGACGGGCCGCGGGAGGGCGTGCAAGGCATCGCGACTGAGTTTTCCTGCGTGTCGCTTACAGTGTGATACGGCAGCGCACCAGCAACAGCGCCACAAACGACATCGCGATGCGAGTGCTCCTGCTGAGCGTGGCGGTCTTGTTCGCCGTTGCCCATTCTGCAAGTGCACAGAAGCAACAGGAGCCCTGGTGAGGAGTCGCAACCCTTGCAAGAGTTTCCTGCCCGCACCCGCGCGCTCAGCTCACGCTACTTGTGGCAGCCTTTCAAGGGGGAGGACTTGCGAGTGTGCAGCTTAAAGCAGTGAGCCGCGCAAGCCCGCCGGCCAGCGCCGGCTGGGCTTCACCGCCGCCCGCCGCGCGCCGCCCGCCTTCCCACACATCCTTGCAGGGATGTGCTGGCCGACTGGGTGGAGGCGGTGCTGTCCTCGGATCCATATTTCAGGAAGCTTGTGCGGCGGGAGCGGCCGACCAGGCTGTTCCTGGACACGACATGGGCCCCCTGCTGCCCCTCCGCCCGCCTCAAATGCTTCGAGGACTGCGACGTGGGAGTGGCCAAGGCGCGGGCGCTCGCCACGCTGCTCCACCGCTCGCTCCCCGACGCCAGCAAGAACTGGGCTGAAGTCGTGGATGTGGCCGCTGTGATGTTCAACGGCCGCCTCTACTACCCCGGAGAGGCACCCGACAATCCGGTGGAAGCTAGCGACCTGCTGGAGGCCGCCCTGTGGGGCCACCCAGACAACCCTCGGGTGAGTGCGGCGTGTAGAGCCTGTGCCAGATGCCGGGCCAACCCACCTGCCTGCTCTGCCCAGCCTGGCGCTAGGCCCTGCGGGCGGTGCAGGGCGGGGCGCTCCGGTTTGCTCCCAGCCTGCCCTGCCCTGTGCTGCACGCACGCCTCGCGTGCTGCCGGCAGGAATGGGCCGGCCGCCTCGCGCCGGGGCAGATCATGTCCTGTCCACACGCATCCTGCATGCCAGTGCAGATTGACGCGACTGAGTTGAAAAACCGCGACGGTGTGCAATACTTTGCTTCCTTCCCCCCCAAGGTGCGGTTGTGGTGCTGCGGAGGAGGGGCGTTGTGGAGGCGTGCACTGCGCTGCCACACGGGTTCTGTGCCTCGCTTGCATTGCAGGTCCTCCAAATCAACTCAAACGACACAGACGTCAACAACGGCGTGGTCACCAGGACCGTGGCCAATGTGAGCTGCAGCTGGCTCCCGAGGGTCACAGTTGCTGGGGGCTGTGATCAATCTCCTGGAGCTCTAGGCATGGTGTCTTGCATAAATGCATACCCTGCCCTGCTTCACCCGCAGGCCATGAACGACGTCTTTCAGCTGACGGACTACGGGCTGCGCCCCAGCTCCTGGCGCTGCGGCGGCGGCTGCTGCGCCAAGCCGCTCAAGTAGCGAGGGCGGCCACGCCGTGCATCCATCCCTCGGCCAGAGCGCCAGCGCATCCCAGGAGCACAGGCAGCCCATCCAGCGAATGCACGGCTGTCCTGTGCCGGTGCCTTGCACACACATGCCTCATCGCGATACATTCTTTTGTTTGATCGACGTAATCGACGCAAGACACAGCTCCCAGCCGGTCAAGGCCCGCCGGCCAGCACGTCTGCCTCATCATCTGAGGAGCGCCCCTTGCGGTGCCTGCCCCACAGCGACCCGCCGCCGCCTCCTCCTCCTGCCCCGCCGCCGCCGCCTTCGCCGCCGAACAGCTGCTGCACCTGGTCCAAGGTGAGTCCGTTGGTCTCTGGCAGCACAGCGTGCGCCCACAGGAAGCCGGCGCAGGCGATGGCGGCGTACAGGAAGAAAGCGCCCGAGCCGCCCAGCAGCTGCGTGAGGGTGAGGAAGGTCTGGGCCACCAGCGCGTTGCTGACCCAGTTGGCGGTGGCTGCCAGGCCTGCAGCAGGGGCGGGGCAGCGCGGCTGCGGTGGGTGGGGTGGCCCACCGCTCTTGCCCAGCGTGCCACACTCCCCGGCCCCGGGGACCAGCAGCGGGCGAGGGTGGCAGCCACGCGGTAGCTGGCCGGTGCCGCTGCCAGCCAGCACCACGTACCCGTGGCCACGCCCCTGACCGCCAGCGGATAGATCTCTGCGTTCACGGCCCACGGCACGGGGCCCAGCCCGGGGCTGAATGCCGCCAGGTAGGCGACCAGGCAGGCCAGGATGAGCCAGGTGTAGCGGCTGGGGCAGCCGTGCAGGAAGAGCTGGCCGGGCGGCGGGCAGGGCCCCTGCTGCTGCCCCTGCCCCTGCCCCTGCTGCTGCTGCCCCTGCTGCTGCTGCTGTGGATCCAGCGCCAGGCAGGATCCTGGCGCCAGCAGGTCGCCGCCGCCGGCGCCGCCGCCGCAGAAGCCGCAGCCGTGCCGCAGGCAGGCGGTGCAGTCTGGGAGCGCGGCCGCCGCGGCGCAGGTGGCGTTGCCGCCGCCGTGCGCCACCCGCGGCGAGTGGCGCTCCGCCGCCAGGAAGGCGCCACCCAGGGCGGCCAGCGCCAGCACTACCGCTGCGATGCTGGATAGCAGCAGGCGGCGGCGGCCGAAGCGGTCGATGCAGCGCATGCCCACAACGGTGCCCAGCGCATTGGTGGCGGCGGGGGCCATGGACAGCAGCAGGGCGGCCTGGTTGGAGAGGCCCGCCAGCTGCAGGATGGAGGGCGTGTAGTACCTGCAGCCAGTGGTACCCAAACGCATGGGGCGGTACAGGGTGGGGGCGGTACGGTGGGAACGCCGGCAGGGAGGCGGCCAAGGCGCGGGTCGGGCGCGGAGCGGCATCGCGCGTGCGTGGCAGCAGCCGCATCGCCGTGGCCGCGCGGCCGCCGCTCACATGACGGTATTGATGCCGCAGAGCTGCTGCAGCACCTGGAGCCCCACCCCCACTTGCAGCTCCCGCAGCACGGCCCGGGAGCGCAGCAGGCGCCAGGGGGTGCCCCGCGGAGGGCCGGCGCCGCCGCTCAGGTGCGGGCGCGCTGCCACGGCCGCTGGCCCCGAGGCGCCGCCCTCGCCAGCCTCGCTACCAGCGGCGGTGCTTGCAGGCGGGGCTGCACCAGCTGGCGGCGAGAGGCTGACACCCAGCCTGCGCGCCGCGCGCTGCGCCGCCGCCGTCCTGCCCCGCCGCTCCAGCCACCTGGGGCTCTCCGGCAGCAGCAGCAGGCCGCCCAGCTGCAGCAGCGAGGGCAGCGCCGCCACCCCCAGCATCCAGCGCCACGTGCCGGGCACAAAGCTGAAGGCATAGTCTGCGGGCGGGGAGCGGGCGGGCAGCAGCAGCGCGCCCTCGCCTCAACCCATGCGCGCGGTGCGCGGCCTCAGCACCTGAGCAGGCACCTGCAGGCACCTGCCCGCTATGCCCGCTGCCCCCCGCACACGCTGCCGCCACCTGCCTGCCACATACGCCACAAACTGGCCCAGGGTGATGAGCAGGACGTTGACGGTGACCAGGCTGGCGCGGCGCGCGGGGGGCGAGCACTCCGCGATGAAGATGGGCACCGTCACAGACGCCAGGCCCACGCCCAGCCCCACCAGCGCGCGCCCTGCAGCCAGAGGCGCCGCAGCGGGCCGCTCGCAGCAGTGACACACCCACGCCGCTCCAAAACGCAGCTGAGCAACAGGTGCACGCCGCGGCGGCGGCGGGCTGAGCCAGGCAGCCAGCCAGCCAGCGTGAACGCCTGCCAGCCAGCCAGCCCGCCTGCCCGCCTTGCCTGCCAGCAGCCAGTACTGGTCCTGGGCTGCCGCCATGGCCAGCGCCCCCGCGGTGAACAGCACGTCGGCCAGCAGCAGCGCCGCCTTGCGCCCCACCCGGTCCGCCAGCCAGCCGCCCGCCACCGAGCCGACGCCGGCGCCCACAATGGCGGCCGACACGATCAGCTGCGGTGGGGTGTGTGTGCACGCGAGGGCCAGCAAACGGCGGCATGAGAGTCCACACACACACGCAACCAAGCTGCGGGACGGCGGCGACGCCAAAACCACGCATCGCGCACCCATGCATTGCGCGCTTCCACCTGCAGGGGCCATGAAACTCTTCACAAAGCACCTGCCGCCAGCATAGCCCCACCTCCTGCCAGTGCGCCAGCGCCGCCGGGTCGCCAGCGTACCGCTGCAGCAGGTCGTCGCGTATGTATGGCAGGGCCCCGCTGATGACGCCGGTGTCGAAGCCAAACAGGAAGCCGCCAATGGAGACCACCCACACAAAGAGGCGGAGGAAGGAGGCCTCTGCCGCTGCCCTGCGCGGCGGGGTGCCGGCGGCGGGTGCGCCGCCAGCCCAGTCGTCTTCCTCCTGGCTCTGCCGGCGCGACACCAGGGGCAGGTCCTCCTCCCCAACCACCACCTCTCTGTCCACCGACTGGATGGGCATTTCAAGCTGCACAGGCCGCATACAGCTGCCGCTGGCTGGCAGCGCGCTACAAAGTCGCGGCTAGAGATCCCCTGATCGCCATGGAGTCCCGTGGCGATTCCATGCCGCACGCACAGGCCGCCGGAGGCTTGCTCAGTCACGGTATTGCCTTCCACCCGCAGTACACCCTTGGAAACCCCCTCAAAACGGCCATCCGGCGCCTGCAGGGGCTGTGCGCGGGTGTGGGGCTCGGATTCAGAGGAAGGGACGTCCCGATGCAGTCGCTCCAAGCCCTGGCGGCGCAACGCTCGCACCTGCACCAGCAGCCTCCCCAACCCCAGCAGCAGTGCAACCGGCAACCGCGCGGCGCTGGGCCGCAGCAGTGGCAGCTGCAGGGCGGCAGCAGCGGCCCAGGGCGCCGCCCTGCGCCGGCAGCCACAGGCTGCGCGCCAGCGCTGCTGCCCGCACCGGTGCTGGAGCGCGGGTGTGCGGCGGCCTCGCTGAGCAGGGACAAGCTGTCCAAGCAGCAGCAGGACTACCTGTGCAACTATGGCGCCGCGCTGAGGGCGCTGCAGCAGGTGTGGCTGCCCGCGGCGCCGCCGCGCTCGCCCTGCAGCTGCACAATTGGGCTGCTGGCACGCCACCCTGTAGGGCCCCCTGCTCAGCCCCTTGCAAAAGGCATGCGCGCCGACCATGCCGTCGCCCCGTTCTCCATGCCTTCCCCGCAGGACCTGCCTGTGCTGCTGGAGCGCCAGCCCTGCCTGGACATCTTCTGTGAGGGTGTGGTGTTCCAGGACCACCTGTCCCCCCGCCTGGGCCTGCCCCCCTCCAGCTGCAGCGGCAAGGAGGCCTACCGCCGCCTCCTCTGGTCGCTGCGCTTCCACCGAGCCCTCTTCTTCTGCAAGTCGCGGGTGAGGGGCAGTGGCTGGCGGGCCGCATGGCGCTGTGCACGTGCGCTGTGTCGCCTGCCTCTGCCACCCCAGCGCCCGCCTGCCCCGTTGCCAGCTCGCCCTCCCCACGCCCTCCACGCCCCGCGCGCCGCAGGTGGAGCTGCTGCGCCTGTGGGAGCGGGAGCCCGGGGTGGTGTGCGTGCGGTGGTCGGCACGTGCCTCCCCCCGCCTGCTGGACGGCCTGGTCACCACCGCGTCGGCGGCGCTCAGCCTGGACGGCATGTCAGGTGGGCGCCGCTGCCAGCGGCTGGCGGGCCGGCAGGCTGTGGGTGGGCTGCCGGGTGGGGGGCGCGTGCTGCCCTGCCTGATCCCAGGCGCCGCCGATGGGTGCGTGCCTGCCTCGCCCGGCTCCCTCCTTCCCCCTCCCACCCGCCTCCTCCTGCCACCCGGCTGCAGAGTTCCACTTCAACGACAGCGGGCGCATCATGAAGCACCGCGTGGATTGCGTGAGCTACAGTGGACCCTCGGTGCAGGTGCCGCTGCTGGCGCGGTATGCGCGGCCGCACCTGGTGCCCGGCCTAGCGGGCGGGTCCTGGGACGAGTGCTAGCTGGCCAGGGGAGCCGGCCCCTGCCATTTCCCCTCCCTTACCCGCTGTGAGTCGAGTACTGCCGTCACTCGGCGGCGTTTTGAACGTGCGCAGCTCATCCAAGCCGCCCCCTGCCAAACGCGCCATTTTGAAAGCGAACTGAACCTTATTTCGTTGAGGCAATGCATGAAAGTTTTTACCCGCCTTGCACGCATGCCGGGAAGCCCCTCTGTTTTGGCTGCCGCCGCAAGCCCACCCCCCTGCCCTCCATTCTTCCCTTGGCACTAATGGTCAATGGGCGCTGAACCCAATAATGCCCTTTGTTCCCGCTACTGTTCGAGGTGCCGCCCGATTGAAAGTTGAAGCTGTTGTTGCAGCTGAGAATCATTTTCTGAACGCATTGGTTCAAGCAGTGACGTGCTGTTTACATACAGTTGATCCTGTTTCCCCTGCGGATCCCAGTTTGTTGCCGTGTAACAGGCTGAACAATCGTCTGCTGCCAAAGCGCCGCCGGCTGTTCTGGAGAGGCTCTCTCACTCCTCCTCGCCGCTGAGCGTCGACCGCACATGGACAGGCAGCTCCGGCACTGGTGGGTCCTGCATCCCATGGATGGATGCAGCAAGGGTGAGGTTGGCACACAGTGATAGACCACCAGCGCGCTGTTTGGTAGGTAGCAGGGCATGCGCAGCACCCGCCGCTGCCCCTCGCCACCACTGACATGCGGCGGGGGCTTGATGCGCGGCGACCCGGGGCGCGGCGCCGCGGTGGGGCTGTGGGGCGAGCGCTCGTTCAGCATCTTGGCAGCCTGTGGTGGCAGGCAGCAGCAGATGGGGAGGGTCAGTGAGGGCAGCATGCAGCTTTGACAACCTTTGACAACCTTTGACAGGAAGGCCGCCTCCTGTCAGCGGGGAGAGGAGCCGACGAGCCGACGAGCTGCCGCCTACGTTTGTGGGGCCCGCCTCTGCCAGCACGGCGTCGATGAATTCGCGCCCCGCGGGGTCGCGCTGCCGGGCTGCACTGCCGTGGGGCAGGCGGGCGAGGGCGGGCGAGAATGGGGGCCATGGAGGCGAGCGGCAGCAGGGACAGGGGCATCAGAGTGAGCTGCAGGGCACCGCGGCCTGGACCGCGGGACTAACTACATGCGCAGTGCCTGGCAGCTGCACTGGCAGTGCTCCCAGCCGCGAGGGCGGCTGCTGCCGCCGCGCCCCCGCACCTGGGGTGCGGGTGTGGTAGAAGTGGAGGTCAACCGACAGGTCGGCCAGGTGTGCGCCTGCCGGAGTGATGATGGGGATGCGCACATGGTGCTGGTGCTGCACCTCCTCCAGGTGCGCCAGGCTCATGCTGCCGCTGCCGATGAACTCGTCCATGCCGCCCTCCTCCCCATCGCCCTGCCGCTCCCCCTCGCCCTCCACAGGCTCCCTCACCTCAGCCGCCACAGCGTACAGCGCCACTCGCAGCTGCTTGGCCTCCTCGCTGGGGCCCACCTGAAAAGTCAGCTCCTGCAATGGTGCAAGGGGCGGGGCGCCAGGCCAGCCTGCTCAACCCCCACCCACACCACCTCCCTGGGCTCCCTGGCAAGCAGCTGTTTGTTTTCGGTTGGCCTCCTCCCCGGCCTGCTTGTGGACAGGGCACCGCTGCTCTCTGCGCTGCGCTGCCGTTTGTTTATGAGGGTGCCGAGCATGGGCCCAAGCGCGACAACCGTGCAGTGCTGAATCGGGCCGCAGGCTCGCCTCCTCCCACAGTGTCGGGTCGTCGGGTGCGGCGCCCATCGGCCGCGGCTCGGTGACCAGCCGCCCATAGCCGGGCACCTCGCAGACACAGTACACCTGCCACCGGGGCCCCAGCTGCGGCTCTCTGGAGAGGCAGGAGGCTCGGAAGCCCGAGGCTGAGTGCACCTGCGGGGGAGGGAGGCGGGCAGGGGTGAGCGGCCGGCGGCGGCGGGCCGTTGCCAGGGCTGCTGCCGCAGGAGGGCGATCCAGTTGGGCCTGTGCCTGCCCTTCCACAGTCCAAGGCTCAGCCTGAGCTGCTGCAGCTCTCGGGACGGGTCTCGAAGTGAGCTGAGTCTGCTCCGTAACCCACCTTGACCGCAATCTTGCCAGCCTGGTTCATGTCTTGCTTCGTCCAGGCTGCAGCAACAGCCAAGTGAACCTTGGAGCCTCCAGTCATGGGCTACCCAGCTGCCCTTTCCACCCCTTTGAGCGCCACAGCAAGTCATTTACATGTGTTTCTTAAGGGTTCATTCACTGAATCTCATTGATGGGGTGCAGCAATGAATCAAATTCTGGATGGCGGCAGTACAGAGATAGCTGGCAACAGAGCTGGACAGTTGGCTGGACTCAGTCCTCTCGGGGGTGTTGCTTTCAGCGCAGCACGCGTATCTCGCAGCCGCGCAAACGTGCAGCGGCGGTGTCATGGACACAGGGGGTCAGGCAGTGTTGAGGGCGCGTCAGGCGGCGGCGATGTACAGGGCCGCGATGCGCAGGCGGTAGGTGATCATTCGGTGCGCCGCCAGGCGGCCGGTGGCGTGGGAGGGCACCAGCGGGTCGTGCGCGTGCGGGTGGGGCGGCGCGCTCCTCGGCACCGCGCCAGCCGGCAGGCTGATCTGGCGGCCGACGTGCATGTGCTGCGGCAGCAGGTGGCTGGGCAGCGTGGCGATGGCGGCCAGAAGCCGCACGCCCGCGCCGCCAAGCACCACAGACGTCTGCAGGCAGGGAGGCGGGGGTTGTGGTCAGCAGCGGGTGAATGCTGCTGAGTTCTTGCTGTTAACAGCGCCCCGCAACAGGCGGCACGGCGGCAGCGGCGCCCTGCTGCCCCGCCCGCTCACCAGCGTGACGACGGCGGCCACCATGAAGCCAAACAGGAGGTCAGGCCGCCGCAGCGGCCCCCTGCGCCGCGGCTGCTGCCCCTGCTGCCCGCCGCCCGAGGCCGGGGCCGAGTGTGCTGCTGGCGTAGCCACAACAAACCCGCTCGTGGTTTTGCCCAGAGTTGGGGGCGGCGGGGGCAAGGGCGCCGCTGCTGGCGGCGGTGTCGGCGGCGTCGGCGACGCCCTCGCCCTGCCGCCCAAACAGGCCCATCAGGCCCGGCACAAAGTCTTCTGGCAGCGTGTAGTTGGTGATGCGTCGGCCCCAGCCGCACTCCTGCGCCACCGCCGCCAGCTGGGCGTTGCCCACCGGCGGCACGGCAAAGCCGATGCAGGAGACCGTGTGGTGCAGCGCCTCGGGCAGCGCGTCCAGCAGGCGCACCGTGCACAGCGTGGCCACGGCGCCGCCCAGAGAGTGGCCTGTGGGGGCGGGGGTGGAGAGGGGAGGGGCGCAAGTCAGTTGCATTTTTTCTTATCAGGCTTCCTGGGTTGCAGGTGTGCTGGCAGGTCCTGCCTGCTGCTTGCAGGACGACTCCGGCGCGGCCCACCAGCCAGGCAGCCCCCAGCCGGCTGCCACTCTGCCCACCTGCCAGCACCAGGCGCTTGCCCTGCACCCGCGCCAGGCGGTACAGCTGCTCCACGGGGATGCCCGCGGCGCGGCGCAGGTAGCCGCTGTGCGCAGCAGGCGCGCCCACGCCGCCGCTGCCGGCGTCGGCCGCGGCGCTGCTGGTGCCCTTGCCGGCGGCGGGCTGGAAGACGGGTGCGTGGCGCAGGCGCAGGTTCACCAGATGGTCGGCGGGGCGCTTGGTGCCCAGGAACGCCACCACGAGCGCGTCGCCGGCATCCGCCACCACATACCTGCAGCAGGGCGCGGCATGTGGGCAGCGCTGTGAGCAGCAGCGCAGGAGGAGCAGCAGCAGCAGGAGGGGGAGGTGCCTGTGTGCAGAAGCAGCCGCAAGCAGCAGCCGGAAGAAGCAGCCGGAAGAGGCAGCTGCAGGTGCCAGATGGCGGCGCCTCACCGCTGCTCCTGCTGCGCCGGGCTCCACTGCACGCTGGTGACGCGGGGTGCGGCGGGCAGGTGGCGCAGCAGCCGCTGGATGGCCTCCTCTGCCAGCTGCTCGCCGTGGTCGTCTGCCCGGTAGATACCCTCTGCCAGCGCCACTGCCGCGGCCACGTCCTGGACGCCTGGGCCCAGCACGCCAGCCGCCAAGGGGAATGCCTCTGGCACTGCTGCTGCTGCTGCCTGGCTGGGGCGGGTCCACTCCCCCAGCTCCCGCAGGCTGCTCATCAGGGAGGATGGGGAGGGTAGCCTTGAGGGGACATGCTGCTGGTACCCAGGCACATGTTGCGGCAGTTCCGGCGGAGCCGACGGCGCGGCTATGGTGGCGGTCTGCGCCTGGGCGACGACAGACAAGGCGCCGCGCTTGCCGGCTAGGCGGGGGGCTGCTAGCGAGAGGTGAGGGACCGCAAGGGCTGCCATAGTTGACCGCGGAGGGCTCAACAGGTGTGCAGGTTTGAACCCAGACGGCGAGGGAAACGGGGTGCCTTGCAACTCCAGAGGGTCTAGATGGATGATCGAGCGATGATGCCTTGACGCGGTCGCTGCCGGTGCAGTTTGCTGGGTCATGCTGAACATGCTGGAACGGGCGGTCAGCGCCCCGTGGCATGACGCGGGGCGAGGCATGTGCTAGCAGACGTTCCAACTGCACCTTATTGCCCTCTGGTCTCCCGGCGTGGCCTTGTGCACGCCCGCATTCTCCTCCCGCAGCTAAGCCTACCCGCCATCGCCGAGTCACCTACCGCCATGGCCTCCGACAGTCCACAAACCGCGCCCGAGGGGTGAGGAGAGGCACCTGATGCGCCTGCCGCCCCGCCTGCTCGTCACATGGGACACAGCGCTAGATGGGCAGGAGGCGGCTGTGGCGGATGCCTGCCGCGTCTGTCTCGCTGCACAAGTCGCCATCTAGCCCAGCTACGCATGCATGGCCGCCTGGGCGTGTCTAGGGACCTCCACCGCGCGGCTGGGTTAGTCCGACACGGTCACAGGCCTGGTGCAATGGATCAGGTGTCCACGAGACCCCCATCCAGTTCTGCCGTGCTGTGCTGTGCTGCAGAACGGCGCTCGGCCGGGCCCCATTCCCCTCCCACCGCCGTTTTCAGCAGGTTCATATCCCCACACAGTCACCGGGCTTGTCACCGGGCTGAAGGGGGTCTCAGGCAGGTGATCAGCGGCCGGTGATCGAACTATGGGCGTGGAGGGCCCGGTGGTGCAGCCGGGCCATGGCCTGAGGGACTACTACAGGGGCAAGATCCAGGAGCTGGAGATAGCCATTAGGGACAAGCACCACAACCTGCACCGCATCGAGGCGCAACGCAACGAGCTCAACAGTAGAGGTGCGAGGCGGGGGAGGCCTGGACCGCGGCAGCAGCGCCTGCTGGGCCCTTCAGACGCCCAGCTGACGCCCTGCTCCCCTCTGCCTGCAGTGCGGCTACTCAGGGAGGAGCTGCAGCTGCTCCAAGAGCCGGGCAGCTATGTAGGGGAGGTGATCAAGGTGCGATGGCGCGGACCGTGGCAGGGCAGCAGGCCTCGCGCCGCGGCGGGTGGGCGGGCAGCGGCGGGTGGCGCTCGCCGTGTCGCTGCCGTTCTGCCTGCGGCAGCTTGCTGCTGCCTCGCTCACCGCCTGGGCCTCGCCCCCGCCTGGCGCATCGCAGCTGATGGGCAAGAGCAAGGTGCTGGTCAAAGTCAACCCAGAGGGCAAGTATGTTGTGGACCTTGGTGAGTGTGGAGCAGAGGCACAAATGGAGGCCCGGGTTGCTGGGGCCCTTTGTTGGGCCGAATGCTTGGTCTAGTTTGATCTAGCCTCGCAGCCTGGGCCCCTGCCGGCCTCCTGTGCCGCTCGACTCGGGATTGGCTGGCCCACCGGCAGCCGCCGGCCGCACCCCGGCTCGCCGCCGCCGCTCCCCGCCA